CTAACCCCAGCACCCCACTGCATCCTCCTAACCCCACTGCACCCCACTGCGTCCTCCTAACCCCACCTCTCCACAGGTGAAGGCCTTCGGGCCGGGCTTGGAGCCCACTGGCTGCATTGTGGAGCGCCCGGCCGAGTTCACCATCGATGCCCGTGGTGCCGGCAAGGGGCCCCTCAAGCTCTATGCACAGGTGGGARCTTGTGGGAGCTGTTGGGTGGTGCTGGGTGCTCTTGAGTGACATTGGGTGGTGTCGAGTACCTTTGAGTACTGTTGAACGCTATTGGGTTCCATTTAGTGTTATTGGGCACCACTGGGTGCTATTGGCCAACACTGAGTGCCATTGGGTGTCACTGGGTGCCANGGTCACAGGACGCCGAGGGCTTCCCCATCGACATCAAGGTGAAGGACAATGGTGATGGCACCTTCAGCTGCGTCTATGTCCCCACCAAGGCCATGAAGCACACGGTCATCGTCACCTGGGGAGGCGTCAACACCACGAACAGCCCCTTCCGTGTGGGTGTCCTAGGGGGCCCGTGGGATTCTGGGGTGGCTGYGGGGGTGTAGGGAGGGGTGCTAGTCATGGAGAGCATTGAGGTGTCAGATGTGGGGCACGGGGATCATATGGGGATGGGGGCCAGGGTGGGGCTGGGATCTGTGGGGTGATGTGGATGGAGATAGGGGTCCCAGGGGGTGTTGGATGTGGGGATGGGGTCCCAGACGTACAGGGTGCTGGGGAGGGGTTGGGGGTCCCAGGCCCAAGGGATGCCAGGGAAGGAGGGGTCCATGCCCTCACCCCAGAGGTGACACTGTGGGCCCACAGGTGAGCGTGGGCGAGGGCAGCCACCCCAGCAAGGTGAAGGTGCACGGGCCAGGCGTGGAGAAGACGGGGCTGAAGGCCAACGAGCCCACCTACTTCACCGTGGACTGCAGCGAGGCTGGACAGGGTGGGTGCCATGGTGGGGGACACCCTGGGAGCTCCTCTGTGGGCATGAGGCCTGTGTTCCTGGGCCAGCACCCCGCTCCCACACCCCTGGTGCTGGACATTCCCACTGGTCCTCTCCGCTAGTCCTGGACCATTCCCACCGGTCCTCTCCGCTAGTCCTGGACCATTCCCACCGGTCCTGCTCCGTAATCCCTGGATCAGGGGTCCTTTGTTCAGAGCCTGTCAGTTCTGGTTCTGGTCCTGCATCCCTGGTCCTGCATCCCTAATCTTGCATCCCTGCTCCTGGTCCAATGTCCCTGTTCCTGGTCCAGGAGTCTGGTCCTGCATCCCTGGTCCATTATCTCTGGTCCTGGTGCATCAGCCCTGATCCTGTCCATCCCCAGTCCTAACCCAGCCTCCTGCTCATGTTCCTGGTTCCACCCCTCAGTGTTCTCCTGGGGACTGGGTGCCAATGACCCCACCACCCCCACAGGTGACGTCAGCATTGGCATCAAGTGCGCCCCAGGAGTGGTGGGGCCGCTCGAGGCTGACATTGACTTCGACATCATCAAGAATGACAACGACACCTTCACGGTCAAGTACACAGCGCCAGGCGCGGGGCTCTACACCATCATGGTGCTCTTTGCCAACCAGGTGAGGGTTCTGGGACTGCCCCACATCCCCGAGGCTCCATGCCCCACTCTCTGGGGTGCCCCCAGCCCCCRGGGGCCAGGTGGGGCTGGGACTTTGACCCCGTGGTGCCCCCATGTCACTGTGCCCCGGTCTCCGTCCCCAGGAGATCCCCTCCAGCCCCTTCCGCATCAAAGTAGACCCATCCCACGATGCCACCAAGGTCAAAGCCGAGGGACCTGGGCTCAGCCGGACGGGTGAGAGCCTGTGGGCAATGAGGTGGGGAGGGGGGACATGGGGTGGGGGTGATGGGTGCTGTGAGGCCAATACTGTGGGTCCCACAGGGCTGACAGTGGGATGCAGTGGGGGAGGTGGGGACCCCACCCACTTCTGGGTGCTGTGGGGCAAGGACTGTGTGTCCTGTGGGTGCTGTGGGTCCTGCTAGTGACTTGACAATGTGGTGCAGGGGTAGAGGTGGGGACCCCCACCCACTTCCGTGTGCAGACGCGGGGGGCGGGGAAGGCCCCCCTGGACGTGCGGTTTGTGGGGACGGGGCCTGGCCCAGCTGTCGCYGACTTCGAGGTCATTGACAATCACGACTACTCCTACACCGTCAAGTACACCCCGCTGCAGCAGGTGGGTGCTGGGGGCACCCTCTCCCGGAAAGAGGGCACCCTTACCCATGTGGGGACCCCTGAACCCCTAAGGACCCCCACCATCAAACAGACCCCACCACAGTCTGTGGGTGCCTGGGCACAACCTGGGGGACATGGGGGACACCCTGACCCATTGGAACACCCCACGGAGGCACCTCAACCTGCCTGGGCRTCCAAACCCATAGGGTCAGCCATGGGGGGATCCCCAACATGTAGGGACGCCCCAGCCCGTGAGTAAGCCAGGAGGGGCCCCTCATTAACACCCCATTCCCTGGACTGCCCCAAGGCCATACTCCCCATACAGCACAGTGTGTAGGGGCACCCCCAGGAGCACCTSCTCCACACAGGCACCCCCATGAGCACCCCAGCTCCTGGGCTCCCACCCAACACCCCCCTGTCCCCATGGACACCCCACTTCTCTGGGGACCCCCTGGAGCATCTGCAGCCCCACATGCATACCTGTCAACCCAGGGCACTGCTAGATGCACAGGTTCCTCCCATCCCTGCGACTTYACCCTCCACAGCACCCATGGGTGACCCCCAGCCTCCCCCAGCCTCATGGCTGCATGTCCCCTGGGACCCCCTTGGAACCCCCCAGCACTGTCCCATGGCTGTCTGCCCTCTGCCCTCTGCCCCTGGCAGGGTGCTTGGGGGTGCACCCTGAAATGGAGTTGTTCCTGCAGGGCCCCCTGTCTGTGGTGGTCACCTATGGGGGGGACCCCATCCCCAAGAGCCCCTTCCCCGTCACTGTGGCCCCTCCCCTGCAGCTGGGCAAGGTCAAGGTGCAGGGGCTCAACAGCAGTGAGTGTGGGCACTGGGGAATGGGGGGGCACCAAGGGGGGAGCACCCTGCGTGTGGGGTACAGTGTGGGGTGGGCCCTGGCGGGGACACTTGCACGTTGGGAGCACCCTGGGGGAAGAGACCCTGGAGGGGGCACTTGGGTGAGGGGATCAGCCGGGGGGGGCACCCTGAATGTAGGGGCACACTTGGGAAGGGCACCCTTGGGTGTGGGGTTCAGCATGGGGTGAGAGCACATGAGGGCACAGACATTCGGTGYAGGGGTATCTGGGTGGGGGATACACAACCTGGTTATGGGGTGGGTTTAGGGGGCCCCAAGGGTGGGTTGGGGACCATCCTAGTAGGAGAGATTGGGACCACCTGTGCGTGGGGGCAACCAGGATATGGGGGACASACATGGGTGGGGGCCTGGTGGGAGACAGTACCCCAGATATGGGGGACACCCTTGGGTGGAGGAGACACACCCTGGGACAGACACACACCTGTTCCTCAGATCTGGGGGACACATCAGGGTGTGGCGTTCCCCATGCGTCTGGGGACACCCAGGGTGTGGGGTGCCCCTCTGACCCTCCATTTCCCTGCAGAGGCGGAGGTGGGGCAGGTGCAGGAGTTCCAGGTGGAGGCACAGGGTGCAGGAGGCCAGGGGCACCTGGAGGTGAAGGTGACGGGCCCATCGCGGCGCCCCGTGCCCTGCACAGTGGGGCCTGCGCCCCCCGGGAGCCCCCACCCCGTCACCTTCACACCCGCCGAGGAGGGGCCCCACCGTGTCGAGGTCACCTACGATGGGCACCCCGTTCCGGGCAGCCCCTTCCCCGTGGAGGCTCTGCTGCCCCCTGACCCCTCCAAGGTGAGCGTGGCACACGCATGTGTGACAGGGGTGCGTGTCCCAACCCCTGCGTGTCCCGCTGCCCTCCCGCCCTCCACCTGCTGCTCACAAGCCCCCYGTGTCCCTGTGCCCTGTGACTCCTGCATGTCCCCCTGACCCCCCCGTGTCCCTGTGCCCTGTGACTCCTGCATGTCCCCCTGACCCCCCCGTGTCCCTGTGCCCTGTGACTCCTGCATGTCCCCCTGACCCCCCCGTGTCCCTGTGCCCTGTGACTCCTGCATGTCCCCCTGACCCCCCCGTGTCCCTGTGCCCYGTGACTCCTGCATGTCCCCCTGACCCCCCCGTGTCCCTGTGCCTGCAGGTGGTGGCCTCGGGGCCGGGGCTGAAGGGCGGCCGCGTTGGGGTGCCGGCACCCTTCTCCATTGCCACGCAGGGTGCGGGCAGTGGGGGGCTGGGGCTGACGGTGGAGGGGCCCTGTGAGGCCAAGATCGAGTGCCAGGACAACGGGGACGGCTCCTGCGCCGTGTCCTACCTGCCCACGGCACCCGGAGAGTACCACATCAACATCCTCTTCGCCGGGCGCCACATCCCGGGCAGCCCCTTCACGGCCGCGGTCACGGCTCCTTTCGACCCGGCCAAAGTGACGGCGTCGGGGCCGGGGCTGGAGCGCGGCCGTGCKGGCGAGGCGGCCGTTTTCTCCGTGGACTGCTCGCAGGCCGGTGAGGCCGAGCTCACCATCGAGATCCGCTCCGAGGCCGGCGCCAAGGCCGAGGTGCTGGTGCAGAACAACCGTGACGGTACCTACGCCATCACCTACACCCCGGCCTGTGCCGGCGCCTACACCATCACCATCAACTACGGCGGCCTCCCGGTCCCCAACTGCCCCGTGCGCGTCACTGTTGACCCCGCTGTTGACACCAGCAGCGTCAAGGTCTACGGCAAAGGCGTGGAGCCGCGAGGTGAGGGAGCGGCCAGGCGGGGGCTGCTTGCCGGGGCATCTCCCTCCCGTGGGTGGTCATCTCCCTCCCGTGGGTGGGCATCTCCTTCCCTTGGGTGGGCATCTCCCTCCCGTGGGTGGGCATCTCCTTCCCTTGGGTGGGCATCTCCCTCCCTTGGGTGGGCATCTTCCTCCCTTGGGTGGTCATCTCCCTCCCTTGGGTGGGCATCTCCCTCCCGTGGGTGGGCATCTCCTTCCTTTGGGTGGGCATCTCCCTCCCGTGGGTGGGCATCTCCCTCCCGTGGGTGGGCATCTCCTTCCCTTGGGTGGGCATCTCCTTCTCCCCAAGGGCATCCCATCCCTGTGGGCATCTCTTCGTTCTGGGTACCCCCATGGACACCATCACAGGCATCTCCCCGCCCTGAGTATCCCTATGGCACCCTGTCCCTGAGGGTACACCCCTCTGTGGACATCCCCACTCATGGGCATTCCAGCMCCATGGGCAAGACCCTCCCCACTGGCAGCCCATGGACAGCCCTTCTCATGTGGGGGGTCTTCTGGGSACCCTGTGGATATCTCTCCATGGGCACTTCCCCCTTGCATGGACAACCCCATGGCCATGGACACTTCCATGGTCACCAACATCTCCCCACGGGGACCCCCTCTAATGTGTTCCCCTTGCCCCCGCCACTACTCAGGGGTCCCCGTGGTTTTCCTCCCATTCACACCTCTCATGGGGGGAAGTTCTGGGGGTGCAGGGGGCTTGGGATGGGAACCCAAGGGTGTGCCWGCTTCCCCTTGAATGCCCTGTGCATGCCAAGGGAGCCGTGGGCTGTCAGGAGGTGCTCTAAGGGACCTCCAGGTGAGCTCTGGGCCCCCCTTGACCCCCCTATACCCCTCAGGGGTGCTGCGGGAGGTGGGCACGGAGTTCACGGTGGATGCGCGGGCACTGGCTCCCACCGGAGGGCCCCACGTCCGAGCACGGGTGCTGAACCCCTCGGGGACCCCCATCGACACCTTCGTCACTGACCTCGGCGATGGCACCTACCGTGTGGAGTACACCCCCTTCGATGAGGGTGAGGAGCCCCAACACTCCTGGGGACCCTCAGACCCCTTTGGAGAACATAGGCACCCCCAGGGGACTCCCAAACCCCTAAGGACCCCCACGCCCCTGGGGAACCCCAACACACCCTGGAAACCTCCAGGAACCGTGAGATCCCCCAGGGGCCCTGCTCCCACACTGGACCCCAAGACCATCCCCCKGGAGCTCCAAGTCCTGGCCAGGCGTCCTCCATTCCTCATGAGGGATTCCCAGAGAGGGAACTTTCCATACCATGTCTAGGTGGGGACCCCCTTCAGCTGCCCCTGGATGTCCAGAACCAGTRACCCCCAAGCCCTTTGAAACAGCCCCAAATCCCAACCAGGAAGTCCCAGCCTCCCCCCAAAACATCATGTAGGGATCCCCAAAGCCCCCAAGACCTTCCAAACCCCACCCAAGGACCCTCAAATTCCCTGAGAACACCCACCTTCCCTCCAGAGAGCCTTTGTGCCCCCTCCATGGGCAGTGTGTGATGGCGTCCCTGTTGCAGGGCTGCACCTGGTGGAGGTGACATATGACGACGTGGCAGTCCCCAAGAGCCCGTTCCGTGTGGGGGTGGCTGAGGGCTGTGATCCCACACGTGTTCGGGCGCATGGCCCTGGCCTGGAGGGTGGCCTGGTGGGCACAGCCAACCACTTCACTGTGGAGACCAGGTGGGCACTGACCCCCTACCCCAACCCAGCCCTGCTCCCCAAAGCCCCCCAACCCCTGCCTTCCAAATCCCTTGCTCTAGCTCTATTCCACGCCCACTGATCACCCCATGTTGTCTGTGCTGGGGGGTTTGGGGTGGGCATGGCCACCCATTTCAGCATGGAGATGAGATGGGTACCAGCCTAGAGTCCCTCCGCTCCCATCCTGCCCCCGCCCCACACCCACAGATTCCCCCCACCAGAGGTGTCACCTCCATCCCCACCCACCAAGCCACCATCTCCATCCCCTGCATGGAAGTGGCACCACTGTCCTCTTGCACCTGTGCCCTTCATGTGCATGTGCCACTTRTATCCCATGTCACCAACCGCCACCTCCATCCTGTGCCACCACTCTGGCATCTCCATGTTCTGCCACAGAGGCCCCATGTCCTTCCTCTTGCATCCTCTACCCCCTGTATCCCTTCCCACCCCCTCCGTCCCACRTCACGTCAGATGGAGGAATCTCCATCCCCTGCCATGAAAGTGGCATCTCCATCCCATGTCACCAGCTGGCACCTCCCTCCCCTTCCCAAGGAGGTGGCACCTCCATCTCCCCACTACGGCTGTTGTTTCCCCATGGTGCCCGTGTCACCCGTCTGAGTGGTGGCATATCCCCAGGGGTGCGGGCACCGGGGGGCTGGGCCTGGCCATTGAGGGTCCCTCAGAGGCGAAGATGTCCTGCAAGGACAACAAGGACGGGAGCTGCGCAGTGGAGTACGTCCCCTTCACGCCTGGCGACTACGATGTCAACATCACCTTCGGCGGCCACCCCATCCCCGGTGCGGGGGGACACGGGGACAAGGGGTGGGGGGAGAGGTGCCCTGGTTCTTATCTGTTGGTCACAGGGCTTCACTGTGGTGATGCCACCCTTAGTGGCCCCAAGGACAAGCTGTCCCCTGCCTGTGCCATCCCTATGGCCATAACTTTGGTATCCCATGGCCACATTGACCCATGTGAAGCCTTTGTCCAAACTGTGTCCATGGCCATGGTGTCCTTGTTCACATGGTGACTTCATGGATGTGTTGACCCCATGATCATAGTGACCCCACACTGTTGCTCATGTCCCTGTTGAGCCCTTCCCCATGCTGACCCCTTGGCCATGCAGTCATTGGGCCCATGCTGACCCCATGGTCATGTTGTCCTCATGGTCACGTTGTGCCTGTGCCCATTTTGAACCCACAGCTATGTTGACCATATGGATGTGTTGACCCCATAGCCACATTGACCCCGTGAGCACACTGGCCCTTGAACGATGGACATGCCAACTCTATGGCTACGCTGTCGCTGTGCCCACGTTGACCTCATGGCCATGTTGAATGTATCCCCACACTGACCCCATTCCTACATTGACCCCACACTCACATTGTCAGTGGCCACACTGCCCCYATTCCCACCCTACCCTGCCCCGTGCTGCCTCCCCACGCACTGATCCCCTTCTCCACACAGGGAGCCCGTTCCGGGTGCGAGTGCGAGACGCTGTGGATGCCTCMAAGGTGACGTGCTCAGGGCCAGGGCTGGGCCCCAGTGTCCGTGCACGGGTGCCCCAGAGCTTCACTGTGGACGTCAGTGCCGCGGGTCGCGCAGCCCTTGAGGTGACGCTGCTGGGGCCCACTGGTACGTGGGGACACGGGGSGCAGGGGGGCCCTTGTCTTGTGGGGTGTCCTGACCTGGGAGGTGTCCTGCCTCGTGAATGTCCTTCTCCRTAGGGTGTCCTGCCCCTTGGATCCCATGGTCCATAGAGAGTCCTGCCCCTTGGGATGTCCTGCCTCTTTAGTTCTGCTGCCATGCCACCCATGCGTTGTCCAACACCATGGATGTCATGCTCCATAGGGTATCCGGCCTCATGGTGTCCCCAGTTATATAGGGTGTCCTACATATGGATGTCCTGCTCCATATATATCCATAGGGTGTCCTGCCCCATGGAYGCCCTTCTTCGTAGGGTGTCCCACTCCATGGAGTGCCCTCCCCATGGATACTCAGATCCATAGGGTGTCCTGCCTCATGGAGTTCCCAGCCCTGGAAGTCGTTGCCTACATGCTGCTCTATACCCTCCATGTCCCCCTGTCCCACACGTCCCCCTGCCTCACACGTCCCCATCCCACATGTTCCACTGTCCCACAGGGCTGCCGGAGCCAGTGGAGATCCGAGACAATGGTGACGGCACCCACAAGGTCACCTACACCCCGGCCACCGATGGACCCTACACCGTGGCTGTCAAGTATGGGGGGCAGGAGGTGCCGCGCAGGTGAGACCCCAGCTAGGGTGGGCAGAGTGGGGACATAGGATCCTCACACAGCCTGGCGATCCCAGCACTGACTGCCTGCTTCCCCCAGCCCCTTCAAGGTGACAGCGCTGCCCGCCCATGATGCCAGCAAGGTGCGGGCCAGTGGCCCCGGGCTGAGTGCAGGAGGGATCCCTGCCAGCCTCCCCGTGGAATTCACCATTGACGCCCATGACGCTGGCGAGGGACTGCTCACGGTGCAGATCCTGGTCAGTGCAAGGGGGAGTCGTGGGGTGCTGAGCCCCGCGTGGTGCCCTTTCCCTCACATCYTGGGCTGCTGAGCCCCACAGGGTGCCCCAGCACAGGGCACTGACGGGGGTTTGCCTGCAGGACCCCGAGGGGCAGCCCAAGAAGGCATCAATCCGGGACAACGGGGACGGCACCTACACAGTGTCCTACGTGCCCGATGTGCCGGGGCGCTACACCAGCACTGTCAAGTACGGGGGGGATGAGATCCCTGCGTCGCCCTTCCGTGTGCTCGCCGTGCCCGCTGGCGATGCCAGCAAGTGCCTTGTCACAGGTGGGACTGCCCCACAGTGTCCTTATGCTGACCCGTGTCATCCCCTTGCTGGCCCATGGCATCCCCTTGCTGACCCACAGCATCCCCTCACTGCCCCGCGGTGTCCCCTCGCTGTCCCACCGCACCCCTCTCTGCCCCACGGCATCCCCTCCTGCCCCACGGCATCCCCTCCTGCCCCACAGCATCCACATGCTGACCCACAGTGTCCCCTTGCTGACCCACAGTGTCCCCTTGCTGTCCCACAGTGTCCCCTTGCTGTCCCACATCACCCACCCCAGACACCCCTGCCTTCACCCCCGCCACCCCATGGCTGCCCCCCAGCACACCCACCTGCCCCACTGCTGCCCCCAGCACCCCTCCCACCGCCCCCAGACCTGCCCCACGGCGCAGTGGGGATGAGCGGGTGTCCCCAGGACAGGATGTGCCGGCCCCCCCGGATCTCCCCGGCCCCCTCGGCCCCCCCGGCCCCCCAACCAGCCCCCCAACCCCTTCTCACCGCTCTCCCTGGTCTCTCTTGCAGTATCCATTGGGGGCCATGGACTGGGTAAGTGGTGCCAGGCGGGCAGTTGGGGGGCCGGGAGGAGACAGTTGGGGATAGGTTTGGAGTCCCCCTATGGCCCTGACCGCACCCTCCCCTGCAGGTGCCTGCCTGGGTCCCACGATCCAAATCGGGGAGGAGACGGTGATCACGGTGGATGCAAAGGCAGCGGGACAGGGCAAGGTCACCTGCAAGGTGTCAACACCTGATGGCGCCGAGCTGGACGTGGATGTGGTGGAAAACCACGACGGCACTTTTGACATCTTCTACACTGCACCTGAGCCCGGCAAATAYGTCATCACCATCCGCTTTGGCGGGGAGCACGTGCCTAACAGCCCCTTCCATGTCATGGTGGGTGGGGCACAGGGGGACACTGAGTCTGGGGGGTTGTGATGAGCACCATGGGTCAGAGTTTGGGACATCATAGTGTGGGCAGCATGTAATCGGGACACCATGGTGGGTGCAATGGGGCAGAGAGCTGGGACCATGATGGGCACTGTGAGATCCTGGTGGGTTCTGGGGGGCAGAGGTGAGACCATGGGATTGGGAAGCTGTGGTAGATCTGAGGGACAGAGAGTCGAGGGCACGATGGGCACCATGGGACATATTTTGAATGTCACCCCAGGGTGACACCATGRGGTAGGGCAACCATGGTGGGCTTGTAACATCATGGTAGGCACCAACAGACCGAGGACTGGGGCCATGGTGGACACCACAGGACAGAGAGTTGATGAGTCAGTCAGCGTGGAATTGCAAGAGCTCAATGGGCGCTGTAGGGTTGGGTGACCATGAYGGAAGTTACAGAATTGGGGAACCGTGGTGGGCACTGTCAGGACGATGGTGGCCATCGTGAAGCTGAGAGAGTTGGGAGATCACGGTAGGCACTGCGGGGCCAGGGTCATGGTGTTGGGGGCTGGGCTCATGGTGGATGCCATGGGGTTTGGAGCTCATGAGGGTCATAGCAGGGCTGGGAGCCCACCACAGGATTCTCACCCTCTCTCTCTGCCCCATGATCAGGCCACRGAGGAGCCCCCAGCCACGGCCGAGAACCTGCGGCCCTTTAACCTGGTCATCCCCTTCACGGTGCAGAAGGGTGAGATCACAGGTATGGTGCAGGGCTGTGGGGACAGGGGCACTCATCCCCCTTTTGGTGCCCCCGMTGACACAGCTCCCCCCAGGTGAGGTGCGGATGCCCTCAGGGAAGACAGCGCGGCCCAGCATCACCGATAACAAGGATGGGACGGTGACAGTGCACTATGCCCCCTCCGAGAAGGGGCTGCATGAGATGGACATTCGCTATGATGGCAACCACATCCCYGGTGAGCACTGGGGGGCACTGGGAGCCACTGGGAGATGGCTGAGGAAGATTAATACCACTGGCTGGACTCCTGTGTGTCAGGCACCCACCATGGTGTGCAATGTCCATGTGGTGTGTGTCTGTGGGGTCCATGGTTGGTCACCCTTGGACTCTGTGGTCCCTGACCATTGTCCCCTGTGTCCCCAGGGAGTCCTCTCCAGTTCTACGTGGATGCCATCAATCCACGCCATGTCAGTGCCTATGGGCCCGGGCTGAGCCATGGGATGGTCAACAAGCCGTGCACATTCACCATTGTAACCAAGGATGCTGGCGAGGGTGAGTGATGGCCGAGGGAGCTGGGAGGTCATGGGGACCCCCAGTGCCACCAGGAGAGGCTGGAGACCCCCAGTGCCTCCTGATGCCCCTTGTCCAGTGCCTTCTGACACTCCATGTGCCTTCAGGTGGGCTGTCGCTAGCAGTTGAAGGTCCCTCCAAGGCGGAGATCACCTGCCAGGACAACAAGGACGGGACATGCACCGTGTCCTACCTGCCCACAGCCCCTGGTGACTACAGCATCATTGTGCGCTTTGAYGACAAACACATCCCGGGCAGCCCCTTCACTGCCAAGATCACCGGTGAGACAGGCTGGGGGCACAGTGGGGTCTGGGGCAGTTCTGGGGACTCCTGGGGCTTCCACCTGGCCATGGTGGCACCTGGGTGGCCATGGAGACACCCACAGAGTCATGGCCACAAGGGAACCTGCGTGGCTGTGGGGGCACCTGTAGGACCATGGGGGCACCTGTGGTCATGGAGAGCATGGCATGGTCATGGGGCTGTGGGGTAATTAMCTTTGGGGTAATGGGCACAATTGTCCCATGGCCAATTGGGACAGCTTTGGTGTCTCTTACCCATTCCTGGCAACCAGGATTCCCCCTCACATCACCCAGGGGAAACTGTGAAGCCTTTCAGACCCCAACCCATGGCCATGGGGACACCATGGAGCTTTGAGGACCCCAATGCAGGGCCATGTAGACCTTGTGAGCACCCTATCCCCTTGAGGGATGGCCTTGAGGATCCTATTCACACATCTTTGGGCAACCCCTGATTCTGGGGACCCTCTCCATATGGCCATTGAGACCTTGTAGGGCTTTAGGGATATCATTCCATCACCATTKGGACCCTATCCATTCTGTCCTCCACCTTGGGTTGATGTCACTGCTGATGGCGTCTCTGTAGGGGATGACTCCATGCGCACGTCCCAGCTCAATGTGGGCACCTCGACTGATGTGTCACTGAAGATCGCAGAGACGGACCTGAGCCTATTGGCGGCTACCATCCGCGCGCCCTCAGGCAACGAGGAGCCATGCCTGCTCAAGCGGCTGCCCAACCGCCACATCGGTGCGCAGGGACACAGGGACACCGYGGGGACATGGGGACATGCAGATGTGGGCACAGGAGAACTGGGACATGGGCACATGAGAGGAGGACGTGGGACCTGGGGACCTGTTGGGACAGGGAACCGTGGGACTATGGGGTCACAGGGATGGGTGGCCTTGTGGCATTGGGTCAGCAGGGGGTTGGTGTGGGTTGGTGGTCAGGGGACTTGGATGGTGACCAAGTGGCGGTGGCTAGGGGATGAAGATGATACATGGGTGGTGGCCAAGGCTGGTGGTGGTGTGTGACTGCTGTGTCTCCCCCAGGCATCTCATTCACACCCAAGGAAGTGGGCGAGCACGTGGTGAGCGTGCGCAAGAGTGGGCAGCATGTCACCAACAGCCCCTTCAAGATCCTGGTGGGACAGTCAGAGATTGGTGATGCTGGCCGGGTCAAGGTGTGGGGCCAGGGGCTGCTGGAGGGCCGCACCTTCGAGGTGGCCGAGTTCATAGTGGACACACGCAGTGCTGGTGAGGCCATGGTGGGGGATGGCCTGGGGAGGTGGTAGCCGTGGCYAAGGGCAGGGTGGGCTGATGGCCATGACCACGTGTCGGTTGTGGCACCCCAAGGATGAGGCGGTGGCCATGTTTATGGCTGTGGTGTGCCATGGCCATACACAATTGTGGCCAAGGCTATATGTGGCCAGGAAGGGATGGTGGCTAGAGTCATGGCCGAGGCCACGGTCACTGTGGCTGGGGTTGCATGGTGGCTGTGGTGGTGCTATGGCCATAGCCAGGATGATTTGAGGGCCATGGCCACGCCACTGCTGAGGCCACTAGAGGATGAGGTGTTGGTTATGGTGTGACCTTCATCTGAATTGGATGGTGACCATGGTGGTGGCATGTCCAATGCCCAMGTGAAGAGGTGGCTAAGGCTATGCCATGGCAATGGCCAACACAGGATGGGGTGGTGGCCATGGTTATGGCCATGGTATGACCGTGGCCAGAATAGAGTGGTGGCCGTGGCCATGGTGCAGCCAAGAGGATGATGCTGTGGTGACCATGGCCATGGTCAGGGTGGGACCTGGGATTGGGTGGTGGCCATGGCCAATGTAGGCTGGTGGCCCTGGTATGACAATGGCCAGGACAGGGACAGCCTCCACGGGACACCTCTGAGCATGTCCCCATGGYTACCCAGGTTATGGCGGGCTGGGCCTGTCCATTGAGGGCCCCAGCAAGGTGGACATTAACTGCGAGGACATGGAGGATGGCACCTGCAAGGTCACCTACTGCCCCACTGAGCCCGGCAACTACATCATCAACATCAAATTTGCTGACAAACATGTGCCAGGTGGGGCTGGGGGAAGCATGGGGGGACAAAGGGTTGTGGTGGGGAGGGGTGCTAGGACCCCCAGCAGGTGACAGGTGCCTGAGGTGACTGTCTCCCACAGGGAGCCCCTTCACGGTGAAGGTGACGGGCGAGGGGCGGATAAAGGAGAGCATCACGCGGCGGCGGCAGGCGCCCTCCATCGCCACTGTTGGCAGCACCTGTGACCTCAACCTCAAGATCCCAGGTAGGGTTGGCCTTCCTCGTCCTCCTCCTGCTCCTGCTCCTCCTCTTTCTTCTCCTCTTTTCCTCCTCTTCTTCTTCCCTCTCTCCTCCTCCATCTTTCATCCTCCATCGTCCTTCTCTTCATTCTCCTCTCTTCCTCCTCTTCTTCCTTGTCCTCTGTCCTTATCCTCTTCCTCCTCCTGCTCTGCGGGCCATGGGGATGGAGATGCGTCTCAACCACTCCAGTTCTGATTTCTCCCTCCTTCCTTCTCTCCCCTCTGTGCATCTGTGTCCATGTCTGTGTCCCTCTGTGCGTCTGCATTTGTGTCCATGCATCCCTCTGTGCATGCCACCATGCATGCCACCACCCACTGATACCTCCATCCACACCTCTGTCCACGTGTCCATTCACACCCCTGTCCACATGTCCATCCCTGGCATCATCCACCCTTGGCTCCATTCATCCCTGTAACAATCCCTACATCCATCCATGTGTCAACCCCTCCCTGCGCCATCCTCTCCTTCCAACCCTGTGACCATCCCTGTCTCCACCCATCATGATTGCATCATCCCTGTGTCCATCCTTGTCTCCATCCCTCTGTGTCTCTGCCCATCATGTCTCCTCCCATAACTACATCCATCCCTCTGTCCATTCACCCCCMTGTCCATCCACGTCCCTCTGTGTCCCCATCACCCCTCGGTGCACCTTTCTGTTCCGCCACCTGTGCCCACATCCCGTTGTCCCCACGTGTCCCCATGTGTGTCCACTGTCCCTCTGTGTCCCCGCGGGGTGTTCCTCAGGGAACTGGTTCCAGATGGTGTCGGCGCAGGAGCGGCTGACGCGCACGTTCACACGCAGCAGCCACACGTACACGCGCACGGAGCGCACTGAGATCAGCAAGACGCGCGGCGGGGAGACCACGCGCGAGGTGCACGTGGAGGAATCGACCCGCGTGGGCGGCGCCTTCCCCCGTGCACCCCCGGAGCCCTTCGGTGCCTTYGGGGCCTTCGGGCCCCGCGAGGGCATCGGCGCCTTCGCAGCCCCTGYGCGCGCACACGAGGGTGCGTCCTGCACCGGGGGTCGTAGGGGAGGGTGTGCGTGCGGCTGTGCAGCAAAGTGGGGTTGCACGAGAGCTGGGTGTGCGTGAGGGGCAAGTGCACCTGAGGGCTGGGTGTGCAGGGCTCCGTGCTTGCGTGACGGGTGGCTGCACTTGCACGTGGGGACTGTTTGCACCGGGGCYGCATGTGCTGGGGCAGGGCACTGGGCTTGCATGAGGGCTGGGTGTGCATGAGGGGCGTGTGAGTGCAGGGAAGTGTGTTTGCACAAGGACTGGGGGTGTGTGGGCAGGGCACTATGCTGGCACAAGGGCYGGGTTTGCAGGGACGTGGGCTTGCCTGAGAACTGGGCACACTTGCCATGGAAATGCCCTTGGACAGGGCTGTGTGTGCTCACACAGGGACACGCCTGGGACACGCTCCCTGGCACATGCACGGGGGCTGCTGCACTGMTGGGGCAGTGCCCTCACACAGGGATGTATGTGGAGGTGGGGGGCAATGCTGGCTCTTTGCACAAGCAGGTGCACGTCTGCTTACCGGGTGTGTGTGCTCACGGTGGGTGCACATCCTCCCAGAGGGCTGTGTGTGCCCTTGGCTTCAGTGTGCAGTCTCAGCAGGGTGTATGCATGTGTGCGCCTGTGTGTGCACACGTGTGTGTGAATGCATGTGCGTGCTGACAAGTGCATGGCGGGCACGCTCACAGGGGAGGGTGCACCCGGTGGSGGGGTGCACATGGGCTCTAGTGACAGGGTGTCTTGGTGGTGGGGTGACAGTGGTGCCAGTGTGCCAGGGAGCCCTCGGGACCGTGGTGAGAAGGTGGTGGGGCAATGGGGTGCCCCAGTCCCCTGGTATCAGAGTGACAGCAGGCTGGGGTGACAGATGCAGGGGTGCTGTGGTCCAGGGTGATGGCTTGATGGGGTGACAGGGTACCGTGGTGCCAGGRTGACAGGGTGCCTCAGTGACAGGTGCTGGGGTACCTTAGTGACACAGTAATAAGCAAATGGGGTCCTGAGGGGCTGGGGTGCCCTGGTGCTGAGGTACCAGGGTTACAGGATGACCAAACAATGAGGTGACAAGGTACCCCGGTGAAAGGGTGACAGTGTGCCCTGTAGTGATGGGGTGCTGAGGAGCTGTAGTGGCGCAGTGGTGGGGTGACAATGGGGTGATGTTGGGGTGTCCAGATGCCTGCAGGGTGACATGGTGTGTRCCTGCAGGTGAGGTGATGGTGCAGGAGCTGGGATGCCATAGTGACATGGCATTGGGGTGACACCGGGGTGCCGACGGGGTGTYGAGTTCCCATGGTGATGTGGTGTGTGCCTGCAGGCGAGGCATCAGCGCAGGAGCTGTCGGCGCAGGTGCTGAGYCCATCGGGGCAGCGGCGCGAGGCCGAGGTGGTGCCGGGGGGCGCAGGGGTGTACAGCGTGCGCTTCGTGCCCCAGGAGACTGGTGCCCACACGGTCAGCGTAAAGTTCCGGGGGCAGCACGTGCCCGGGAGCCCTTTCCAGTTCACCGTGGGGCCCCTGGGCGAGGGCGGTGCCCACAAGGTGCGCGCAGGGGGCACTGGCCTGCAGCGCGCTGTGGCTGGCACACCAGGTACGGGGGGTCTGCCAGTGTGGGGGGTGATGGGGGCCTGGGGGGATCTGGGGGGATGTGGGGGTGTGGGTGTGATGGGGATGTGGGGGCAATGAGGATGGGATGTGTGGGGGCAATGATGGGGATGTGTGGGGCTCTGGAGTGCTTTTGGGGGGTGTGGGTGGCAATGGGGGCATAGGTGCTGTGTGTGGGGGGTGTTGGTGAAATTCAGGTGCTCTGGATGCTGGCATGGGGGATTTGGGTACAGTCGGGTGTGAGGGCAATGGGGAGGGAGTGTTACGGGTGGTCTGGGTGCCATGAGTGGGACGTGGATGCTRTGGGGGGGTGTGGGTGCCATGGGAGGTGGAGGCAGGTCTGTGCTGGGTGTTGTCGTCCTGGGGTGCTGTTGAGAGCCAGGATGACCCTGCTGCCCCCCCAGCTGAGTTCAGCATCTGGACACGTGAGGCGGGCGCGGGGGGACTCTCCATCGCTGTCGAGGGGCCCAGCAAGGCCGAGATCTCCTTTGAGGACCGCAAGGATGGCTCCTGCGGCGTCTCCTATCTGGTGCAGGAGCCAGGTGAGAGGGGGCTGCACCCCAACACTCCCAGCACTCCCAATCCCCCCAACCACCCCTAATGTCCCCGAGAGTGCTCAGCTGGGGCTGGGACCATAGGACCCTCATGCGAGGAGGGACCCACACGCAAAGGTATGCCCAATTAATGGTGTCCCCATGGGAGAGTGTCCCCACAGGGTGGGGCATCTCTCTGCATAGGTGTCCCCAAGTAAGAGTGTCCCCATGCGTGGTGTCTCTCTGCATAGGTGTCCCCAAGTAAGAGTGTCCCCATGAGTGGTGTCTCTCTGCACAGGTGTTCCCATGCGAGGGTGTCCCCATGTGAGTGTTCCCAGGGGAAAGTGTCCCCCGTGTGGGAGGACTCCACCTGACTGTCCCCATGTTCCTCAGGTGACTATGAGGTGTCCATCAAGTTCAATGAGGAGCACATCCCTGACAGCCCCTTTGTTGTCCCCGTCGCCTCCCACTCCGATGATGCCCGACGCCTYACTGTCACCAGCCTGCAGGTACTGGGGACACCCCCTGTGACACCTGGGGCACCACAGATGCCTCCTGCTTCCCCAGGTCACTCCTGGGCCATTCCGAGCCTCTGTTGCACTCTTGGGGCTACCACTACGGGGCACTGGGTCCCCTATGGCACCTTTGGGGCCCCTCTGGGGCCACCTCTCTCTGCCTCATGTCACCTTCAGGCCACCTTTATACCCCTCCGTGCCAGGCTTAGGACCCTCTCTGGTGCCCGTCTCTGTCCCCTGTATCACATTGCACCCSTGTGTCACCTTTGGGACCACTGTGTTGCCCCTTTGTCACCCTGGGTTCCCCTGAAGCCACCTCCCTCTCCTGCATGTCACYATTGGCACCCTTCCTGGTGCCTCCCCTGTGTCCCTTGCATTAATCCTGGCCCACTTTGCACCCGTGTCACCCTTGGGCCCCATGGTGTCCCCCCTGCCCCACTGTTGCCCCAACCCTCCCATGTCCTCTACCCGCCCACCCCATGTCCCCCCATTCCCTGGGGTGAACCAGCTGGCATCATTCGTGGTGTTCCCCTGTTCCCCCACGTCCCTAATGCCACCACGTTGTCCCCTCAGGAGACAGTGGCAGTGAACCAGCCAGCGTCCTTTGCAGTGCAGCTGAACGGGGCGCGCGGGGTCATCGACGCCAAAGTGCACACGCCTGCGGGGGTGGTAGAGGAGTGCTACGTGTCGGAGCTGGACAGTGGTGAGGGGACATGGGGACACCGCACCGACACTGGGACACCGGCTCCACGGATGTGGGGTTGTGGGCACAGGACACGGGTCATAGGGACATATGGGGACATAGGGCTTGAGAATGTGGAGACATGGGGTCGGGTGACAGAGTGGCACAGAGACGGGGACACAGGACATGGTGACATAATGGCATCCTCCAGACCGCTACACACTAGGGTTCTTGAGCAGCAGTGGGGACACAGGGATGTGGGGACAGAGTACGTGGGGACACAAGCCMCAGGGATATGGTGACATGTTCGTGTCTCCCCGACTGGTATGCAATGGGGTTCCAGCTGTGCAAGAACAGGGGTGTGGGGCATGGGGTTGTGGGAACATGGGGGTGCGGGGACATGGGAGCACAGGACACAGGGACTTGGGGACACGAGGACATGGTGACATGTTGTGTCCCCCAGACCGGTACGCGTTGGGGTTCCTGCCACGTGAGAACGGAGTCCACTCCATCGACCTGCGCTTCAATGGGCGCCATGTGCCCGGGAGCCCCTTCAACATCCGCGTGGGCGAGCAGAGCCAGGCCGGGGACCCCGGGCTTGTCACCGCCTTTGGGCCGGGCCTCGAGGGTGGCCGCACAGGTGACGCTGCTGTGGAGACGGGGACAGGGACAGGGCTGTGGGAGGGGGGTGGGGATGGAGACACAACTGCGATGGTGGCAGCAAAGACATGGTCATGAAATGGTGATGGGGACAGGGCCATGATGGAGATGGGACCACGGTGGTGGCAGTGGGGATGTGGCCATGGGAKTTGCCATGATGGGAACGGGACCATGGCTGGTGACCACAATGGTGCCCTGGTGTCCCCGCCACRATGCCATCTCCATGTCCGTGTCCCAGGGGTGCCTTCAGAGTTCCTGGTGCAGACGGCCAATGCAGGRGCAGGGGCACTGGCCGTCACCATCGACGGCCCCTCCAAGGTGGAGCTGGACTGTACCGAGGTCCCTGAGGGCCACCGCGTCACCTACACCCCGATGGCCCCTGGCAACTACCTCATCTCCATCAAGTATGGGGGCCCTCACCACATCGTGGGGAGTCCCTTCAAGGCCAAGGTCACTGGTATGAATGGGGGGGRAAATGGGGATGCAAAGGGGACATGSGGACAGGGAGGARCATGGGAACTAGGGGGAACATGGGAAGTGGGGGGGATGTGGTGATACCAGGGCCCCCAACACATCATGGGCAGCCCCTTCAAGGCCAAGGTCACTGGTACAGATGGTGTGGGGGTAGACATGGAGACTGGGGGCATGGATGAGAGAGCTTGGGGAAGAGGACATGGGAGTCCCCAGTGTGGGGTGGCAAGGGGTCAGTGTTGGGCATTATGGAGGGTTGCAGGGGGGCCACCCTGGAGGACCCCCAGCATGACATGAAGGGGGGGACGTTTCTAGGGGATCCTGGGARTGACATGGTGTAGGAGCCCCAGGGTGACATGATGGGGGCCCTGGAGGGAAGCGGGGTTGTCCCTGAAAGATATCCTCATAGCCCCTAGCAGGGTGTGATGGGGTGTCCCCAGGGYGGGGGCTGATGGTGTCCCCCCTGTACTCCCCAGGCCCACGGCTGTCGGGGGGGCACAGCCTGCACGAGACCTCRACAGTGCTGGTGGAGCCGGTGGTGAGGGGGGCGTCGCGGGGCCCCCCTGCCTTTGGGGGGGTCACCAAGGCCCCGTCAGATGCGGGGCAGGTGGTGGCCCGGGGGCCAGGGTTGGCGACCGCCCGCCTGGGCCACAAGAACCACTTCACCGTGGACTGCAGCAAAGCCGGTGAGGGGCACGGGGGTCCTGGGGGTTGGGGTGCTCCTGGGGAGGGGCGATGGTGTTGGAAGGGCAGATGGGGGCTCAGCAGGGGAGTCCTGTGAGGGCTTGGAGGGGAGGTGGTGGGTCTGTGGTGTGTTCAAGGGATTCTGGGGGGTCTTAAGAAGGGATGGGGTGGATTAAAGGAGGGGCCTGGGGGTCCCGGGAKGGGATGGGGTGGGGTGGGTGAGCGGGGGAGTCTGGGGGGGCCTGGGATGGGTCTGAAGCTCAGGATTCACCCTGGCCCTGTTCCCCCCAGGCACAAACATGCTGCTGGTGGGGGTGCATGGCCCCAAGGCCCCGTGCGAGGAGGTACACGTGAAACACGAGGGCAACCGCGTGTACACGGTGACCTACAGCGTGCGAGAGCGCGGCGAGTACGTGCTGCTGCTGCGCTGGGGCGACCGCGACGTCCCGGGGAGCCCCTTCCGTGTCACCGCGGCCTGAGACCCCCCCGAGATCTCAGGGGGTCCCAGGCCTGTCAATAAAGCACTGCGAGAGCAAGACTGGTCCGAGTGATTGCAGGACTCAACACGGAGCAGGGCTGGGAGGGTGACAGAGTCCCGGGGCTCTGGGGAAGGACGCCAGGTCTGAGGGGGTCCTGGGCAGGACACCAGAATCCTGGCATGTCCGAAACAGCACACAAGGGTTTGGGGCCGGTCCTGGGCGTCTGGGGCAGGATGATGGGGCCCGGGAGGGTCCGGAGCAGGACATCGTGGTCCGGGGGAAGGCGGGGAGGGAGATTCCGGGGGCTCCAGGATGGGATTATGAGGTTCTGGAGTGAGATAGTGGGCTCTGGAACAGGACACTGGAGGTGCCTTGGGAGGGTCTGGGGCAGAATGACCGAGTCCTGAGGGGGTGGAATCCTACGGGGATTGCACGGCAGAACCGCGTTAGCCTGGCAGGCC